CCTCCTGCAGGGGCAGGTGCCGGCCTCACAGGCCAGGAGGCCGAGGGGGAAGCCATGGTAAACACACCAAGGTGGCAACATACATTACAAAGCATCTGCTGCCAGACACTCAGAGCAGTCACTAGTATTTAACCCGCTGTCTGTGCGTGTCAGGCACCTTTTGTTACCGTCCGGGAGTCTTCACAGCTTCCTGAGTGGATCCCACGTTCTCAGACGACACCTCTGGCTCAGGCGCCCGGCCGGGCCGAGCTCAGGCTACAGTCTGTTCTCTTTTTTCACCTGCCTTTTCCGAGTTTCGTTTTGGAAGTGTCGGCGCGATCGCTGCGGGTCAGTGTGCTCCGATGCTGCTGTGGGTGGGTTCCTCCCTCCGCGCCGCCTCCTCCTGCTCTGCGGTCCTTCTGTTCCAGTCTCGTTGGACCCAGATGTGCATTAATTAGTTAATTAATTAATATTGATGTCAGAGAGGAAGGGAGAGGGAGAGAGAGGTAGAAACGTGATGAGAGAGAATCATGCATCGGCCGCCTCCTGCACGCCCCCTACCGGGATCGAGCCTGCGACCGGGGCCTGTGCCCCGACCAGGATCGCCCGTGACCTCCTGGTTCCTAGGTCCACGCATGAGCTCTTCTTTCCAAAGCCCGTGGCGCTGCCTGGGCCGTGGGAAGCGCTCACACAGGGTAGCTGTCTGGTTACTGATGCTGCTCCCTTAAGAGACTCGCCCCCGTGGGTAAGACGCCGTGGTCTTGCTCCCGAGCGCCAGTGGGGACCCAGGCTCTGTACTTTACTGGGCCGTGTGATAGTCTGAGGTTTTCTCCTGCTTTTCCCAGAAAGCCTTGAGCTGCTCGGTGTCATGGGGGGCCGGGCGGGGGGTGTCGGTCTGTCGCGGGAGGACAAGACCTGCTGGTGTCCGCAGTGAGCCCCCCTCCCTGCCCCGGGCCCAGCTTCCCACCCGACGTCCCTGCACACAGAGCTGGGTTTTCTCCTGCTTTTCCCAGAAAGCCTTGAGCTGCTCAGTGTCATCGGGGGGCCGGGCGGGGGGTGTCGGTCCTTCGCGGGAGGACGAGACCTGCTGGTGTCCGCAGTGAGCCCACCCTCCCTGCCCCGGTCCCAGCTTCCCACCCGACGTCCCTGCACACAGAGCTGGGAAGGGTGCGCGGGGCGTGCGACCCTGCACCCCACTCTCACGCCCCAGCCCCCGCACAGGGTGCCTACTGCAGCTGCCTCATGTGGAAGACGGAATCATGTGCACTAGTCGGGGAAATACCTAACTTTTGTTATATAACCAGCAAAGCCCTCACCCCCACCCCAAACACATAAATTGCGAATCTCACGTTTGTGGTTTACGTACATGAAAGCGGTGAGTTCCCCTCCCCTGGCCTCAGTTTCCCGTTACCTGGACCGGGTCGTCTCCAACGTCCCCTCCAGTCCCCAAACCCAGGAAGCCTGATTCGAGCGTCACTCCTTTCCTCACCCTCCACGCTCCTCGTTCCCGCATCGCGCTGGATCCCGGACTTAGAGCGAGGCGTGGGGCGCCCCCCCCCCTGCCCCCGCCGCGGGCGAGAACCTCTGTCTTTTTTATAAGCGCCCATCCTGTGTGGACCCCGAGCACGCTCACTGCCGACGGGGTCATGCCCTGTCCCGGAGGCCAAGCTTTCGGGTTGTCACAGACGTCGGCACTTAGACCCATAGGCGTTGCTCCTCGTTCCCAGGTTCTAGCAGGGGTGACACCAGCCTGCCCTGGTGGCGGTCAGTTCTCCTGGGAAATGTCCCCGAGCTGCTCTCCGTGGCGGCTGGCCCACCGCTCTGCAGCCCGGCTGCCTTAACCGAGGGTGTGGGTGTCATTAGGTGGGACTCGGGCAAGGTCTGAACACGTCCTTCCGACGTCAAGTCCGCGAAGTCCTCCTGGTTCTCTCTCACCCGTTTTGATAAGAGGCACAGAGACAACCCTTGAGCTTGTGTGTTCTCCCAGAAGGTCACGTGCACCTGCCCACCTGCTGGCCCGAATGCCTTCTCTGTCCCGTCAGCCTTGGTCCCTGCAGCTGATGTTGAAGAGCTGCCCAGGTCCCGCAGCTGGGAGGTCCCGTGGGCGAGGGTGAGCGTGGGAGCGTGGTCGGGGCGGAGAGCCGGGCCTGAGAGGGTGTGTTTGTGTCCGCAGGGGCCGACCACATCCGCAAGTACTGGAGCCGCTACTACCAGGGCTCCCAGGGCGTAATCTTCGTGCTGGACAGCGCGTCCTCGGAGGGCGACCTGGAGACGGCCCGCAGCGAGCTGCACTCGGCCCTACAGCACCCGCAGCTCTGCACGCTGCCCTTCCTCATCCTCGCCAGCCACCAGGACAAGCCCGCCCGCTCC